TTGGATCGATGGATATTTATTATTATTATTGCACAATATTATGTGTGTGTGTGTGTGTATGCAATGCGTACATATAAACGAGCTCTTCTACTACAATACACACACTAGACACTACTATATATGCATATATTTTCGGGTAGGTTCCAAAAGTGGTAGTGTTTCTTTTCAATTATTATTATTATTATTATTTTAAGGAAGCCTGGTTAACAGCCTGTCGGGTTTCGTGTGTGTGTGTGTATGTTTTCCCTATCCCTATCCCTATCATATGGCATGACACACACAAATACTGGGTACTGAAACTTTTTTCCATTCATTCATTCATTTTTAAAAAATTCGCCTTTCACATCTTTTTTGACATCATCCTCTCTCTCTCTCTCTCTCTCTCTCTCTCTGATGTGGTAGCCCCTTTCTTTTCTCTCTTCTCTCTCTCTCTCTGTTATGTTGTTTTTTTCTTTTCTTCTTCGTTATGCTTTTTTTTGGCCCGTTCGGTTAGGGTTTTCGGTTTGTGAACGGATGCAAACGACGGATGCCTGTCATGATGAAACAAAAAAAAACAGTGAAAAAAAATACAAAACACACAGGGTGAAACAAAAAAAACAATATTTGATGGAACAGAGGGGTCCAATATACACACACAAACAACTACTTTTTGATCATTATTATTTGAGCATAATGTAATGTACACACACACACACACACATGCCATTATGTAATATTGGGCCTTTCTTCTATCCATTCCATTATGATGAAACTCAAACGTCAAAATGCAAAAAAAATGAAATTTAAATTTTAAATTTCAAATTTCATTTTTTTCTTTCTTTCTAACTGACTTGGAATTGGTTGAAAAAAAAGTTTAGAAATTTTGCATTCAAAACACATACAAACACACACACACACACACACACACACCAGAAACCAGAAGCATATCATGTCCTATAGAGTCAAATGGAGGGACCGAAGTGAAAAAAAAAATTTTTTTTTTGTATGGATATCACATGTGTGACAGGATCGAGATATTATGATGATGATGATGAGAAAAAATGACATACGTTCATTTTAGAGAGACCTAGAGAGGTTAAGACATTGTATGTGAACTAGTTTCGGTGCGAGTGTGTGTGTGAAGAAAAACCCCAAACTTTTTTTTAATTTTGTTTTGTTCAGGGGAAGGTCATGGACAAAAGATTTTCAAGTTCAAAATTTCTTTGAGAAATTACACCACACTTCAAGGTCTTCATATATCTCATTCATTTATTCATCCTTGAAACCAAGTGAAAATAACCGTGTATCAATCTGATTGTAATAATTTATTCAAAGATGATGATGATGAGAAAAAATTTGAACGTTTCTGGTTTCTTTGGATTTATTCAAAAAAACAAACGAAAAAACGAAAAGGAAAAGAAAAAGAAAATTCATTGAAATCAATTGAGCGAACGTCAAACAGTGCAACAACATCAGTTGAAATCAAGACCAAGTAACAAATTGCAAATTTTATTTCTTCTGGATGTTTTTTATGCAAATGACATTTAGTTTTACCACCGTTTGATCAAATCAAATCAAATGTTAATTTATTGTTCAATGAATGTTGAAAAATGATGAGAACCAAGTTGAAAAAAATAAAAAATTTATGATGCAAAAAATCCAAACAACCAACCAACCGTTGGGACCTTATTGGATTTGATTTTGGCCATTTTCATCTGGTTGAAAAATAAAAAAAAAATTACCCAATCCAAGGATGGATGGATGGATGGATGCGGATTTCATCATTTCACCCGATTTTTATTTTTTATTTTTATTTTCGTGGAAAATGGATGCCCGAAATGAAATGAAATGGAAATTTGGGGTGAAAGCCTAGTGAAAACGTCATCATCATCATCGGCCTAAGGGAACACAAACACACACACACACACACAACCATGATTACGATTCAAATTCATTTTATTCAAATTCTATACATCTGCATTTGTGCATAATTTTTTTTCCATTCATTCATTCATTCATTTCCAACGAATTCAAATCGACTGCTGATTATTTCACAATTGAATTCAAAAAAAAAAAATAAAATTTCATTTCGATTCTAAATTTTGATTATCCTGGTGAATAGAAAATTCACATTAACGAATCTAAAAAAAAACAGGCAATGATGGAAAATTTCGATTCATTAGTAGATGGATGGATTTTTCTTTTTTTTTTTGTTTTGGCTGATAAAATTATGCAAATTCAACCCGGCACCGAACACGCGCGTATTGATTTTTTTTCCGTTCCCTTGTTTTTTATGTTGTTTGAAAATTTTAAAAAAAAAATTCAAAACCCCAAACTTTTCAATTCTATCGCTTTTATATCGGGGGAAAAAAAGGTTTTTCATTGGCCATTCATTCGATATCTATTCAAATCGGGTTTTCATTTCATTTTCATTCCATTCACCATCGTCACCATCATCTCATTTTTGAGACTCACCCATTCAGTCAAATTACCCACTGCATCAGTCTGACAGTACTTTTTTTCATTCATTGAAAAACAAAATGAAAAAAAGGACTAAACACACTGGTTATTATTATCATCATTGAAGCCACACATATATAACGACACAAAACAATATCGATGAAACTCTTCAATGATCAGTTGGGTTGCAAAAATAAATTTCAAACATAACAAACAAAAATGAACGATGCTGCAATAAAGCGACAGCTTTTGATAAACATTGTAAAATTGTGTGTGTGTGTGTGTGTGTGTTTTTCCTGTGTTTGATCGATCCAAGTTGTCCGTGTGTCATCATCATCCATCCATCCATCCAAGTTTTTTTTCTACGTCATAGTTGAATGTTCAACGAAAAAAAAAAAAACATTTAATAATAATGGATGGATTTTCTAAACTAAACTAAAATGAAGATTGAATGAATGGATGAACAGAAAACGGGTGATGGTGGGGGAAGGGGCGAGATAGATAGGTGGATGCAACAACAAACTTTATTTTATTTTTAAAAAAAGGATTATTATTATTTGCTATGGTGACATGTCAATGTCATGAATTTTTTTTTTTTTTTCATTGTTGACAATAATGGATAAGGGTATACAATACCATACCATACCATGGAAACCTGAATTTGTTTTTAGTGGAATGTTCCATTTTAATGTTGGAAATGTGGAAAAAAAATTAAAGAAAAAAACAACAACAACAACAATTGATTGATGCATTGTCGATACCGGATGGTTTTTATTCGGTAATCTTACACAAGTGAATAACAGATTTTTTCTGTTTTTTTAGCTCAAAAACTTTAAATTCAAACACACATCAATTCAAAGTAGTGGAAGCGGGAAAAATAAATGCAAAACTCGGTTGGGTGCTTTGCTTGTTTTCGTGTGTGTGTGTGTGTGTGTGTGTAACAAGGGGAGAAAAAAACGCGGAAATGCAAATCGGTTTATGGATTGAAATTTTTTTTTTTTTTTACCAATTTTATGGCAACGAAAAAAAAAAAACAAAACAAAAAAAACTTGCTGATCATATCGAAATCAGGAAAAATTCGTAATACTTCCATTAGTTGAATTGAAACATCAAAATTCAAATGGAGAGAGTGAAAAAAAAATTACAAATTTCGAATCACAAAATTGGATCGTCAATGATATAAATATCCAGTGAAATTAGCATAAAAATTGTTAATCAGGACATTATTTTACACACTTAAGCTTTACTGGCATTCATTTTTTTTTTCTCTATAAATGAGAAAAAAAAATTTACACTTTTTTTAAATCACTTGCATATATGTCTAAATTGAATTAAAAAATGAAATGATGATTAATTAACATTGTTCGGTGTGTGTGTGTGTGGGTCATGCGCAATCATTTCAGGTTTGATTTTTACACCAACGCCCCAAGAAAAAAAAACGTGTATGTGTGTGGGGTTACGCTTGACATCATATATATTCTGATTATTATCTTTTTAGTTTAAAATTGAAAATTTTTCAATTTTTTTTTAAATTGAAAATCCTCCTTTCAATAACTAACAACAACAAAGTCGTGTGTCGTGTGTGATGATGATGATGATAACAGAAATGAAATCTAAAAATGAAATTGAAATGAAAGGATCCAATCATTATTAAACATTGAAAAAAAAATTGCACGTGCAACAACAACAACAACAAAAATTTCTACGAACTTTGGATGAAAAAAGAAAAATCGAATTTGCTAAAAATTGAAAACAAAAAATAAACAAACAAAATTCAGTGGAAAAAAACCAATTTTTTTACAGCGAAAAAAAATCAATGTTTTGATTAACTCATTTTTCCATTGAATGATTGATTGATTGATTGATTGATAGATGAACAAATGAAACATTCCTATTCTGATCGTGGGAAAGAGTTTGAATTAAATTTTCAGTTTCTCCAGTAAAAAAAAAATTTATGACTGAGAAGCAAACCAAAAAAAAACCCAAAAATCTCAACATTCAAGAATTCGGTTCCGTCTTTGAAATTTGATGTAACAAGAAAAAAAAATTGTCTGTGGAATCCGTGAGAAAAAAAATATATAAAAAAACCCTTTATATGTCCACAAATGGTGTAACCCGATATACAACAACAACAACAACAACAACTGTAAAAATAATTAACCAGAAAGAAAAACATTTGGAAATCATCAACGTTAACACAGTGGTAATCATGTTTTTGAAAACAAAACAAAAAAAATGAAATAAAATTAACCAAATATCCGTTCCCATAGTTTCCGATATCAATTTGGGGAGGTATAATTATTATCCATTCATTGAACGATACAATCAATTTGATGTTACATCATTTGGTATTTCAATGCATAAAAAAGAGGGGGTGTTTTTTTTGTCCAGAAAAATCATCAAAAAAATTATAAAATCATCATTCATGATTCTCATTTCATTACATTGAATTGCATTGACTTTTTCAAAAAATTATTTAAAAAAAAACATTCAATTCCAAATGGCGAAAAAGAATCGACAAAATATGAATTCATTCGACAAAGTTAATAATAATAAAATAAAATAAAAATGATGGCAATCAATCTTCTATTGCAGAGCCCTCTACATCATCATCATCATCATCATCGACAACACGAAAACGGGTAACCATTGATAATGGATCGATTCCAATTACCAACACCATTGATGAACATCAAGTTCAGAATTCATCATCAACACAACCGCCACCACCATCGACAAACATTGAAAACAATCGTAACAACGTAAAAAATAAAAATAAAATCACCGATCATTTATTGACCATTGAAGAAGTGATTAAAAAATATAATACATCAATCATTGATGGCCTAGATGAACGAGAAGCAATCGAAAGGCTAGAAAGATATGGATCAAATACATTTACACCACCAAAAAGTAAACCATGGTATCTATTGTTTATCAAAGAATTGACCAGCGGGTTTGCACTATTATTATGGTTTGCCGGTATCGCTAGTTTTGTTTCTTTTTTTACTGAACATAAAAACGAAGATGTAAGTTATTTTTTTTTTAATTTTTCTTTCTTAGATAAAAATTTCTCACGTTTGTTGTTGTTTGTATTTCTTATCAATCAATATTCGTGTGCGTAAACACACACACACACACACAGGCATATTTGGGTGGTGCCTTAATATCCACCGTCGTTATGACCGGTTTATTTTCCTATTATCAACAAATGAGCAGTTCAAAAGTGTTTAAATCATTCAAACAAATGACACCACAGGTTTGTTGGTCAAAATAAAAAAAAAATATATCAAAAAAAACTGAATATTTTTTTTTATCCCCTTGTCCAACAGAATGCATTCGTTTTACGTAATGGTCGAAAACAAGAAATACTTGTCGAACAATTAGTTATTGGTGATATTGTCTATTGTCAAGCTGGTGATCGTATACCTGCCGATATACGTGTTATACATTCGGATAGTATGAAAATTGACAATTCATCCATTACTGGTGAATCAAAACCATTACTACGTACAATAGATCGTTGTGATGATCAACAATCATATCTAGAAGCATCAAATTTAGCTTTTTTTTCCACCAATTGTACGGATGGCAGTGGTATTGGCGTTATAATTGCCACCGGTGATAATACGGTTATTGGTGATCTAGCATCAACTGTATCGAATATTGGTGAACAAACAACACCCATTGCGAGGGAGATTTCATTTTTTGTCAATATTATCACCATTATTTCATTAATAAGTAGTGCATTATTTTTTGGTTTAACCATTTATTTTGGTGAATCAATATTTGATGCATTCATATTGATGATTGGTATTATGGTTGGCAATGTACCTGAAGGATTATTACCTGCATTGACCGTTGTATTGACAGTGGCTGCTAAAAGAATGGCAGCAAAAAAATGTATGGTTAAACATTTGGAAGCCGTGGAAACACTTGGATCTACATCGGTCATATGTACAGATAAAACCGGTACATTAACACAGAATCGTATGACAGTTGAACATCTTTGGTTTGGTGGTGATAGCTACACAAATCGTAATCGAATGTTATGTTCAGATGAAGAAGAAAATGAACAAATTAAACAAAGTTTAGATTGGTTAGCATTGAAACGTTGTGCAATGCTTTGTTCAAGAGCTGAATTTCTTGATGATAATCCGATTATAAAAGAACGAAAAACACTTGGTGATGCATCAGAAACGGCCATCATGAAATTTTTAGAAGAATCCATTGGTCCAGTAGAACAATATCGACAGCTTTATCCTAAATTGGCCGAAAAACCATTCAATTCAACGAACAAATATCAATATTCTATACATAGACAAATTAATCCAAATACGGGATTATTTTCCAATCATTTTCTAGTGATGAAAGGTGCACCGGAAAGAATTCTTGAACGATGTAAATGGAGAGTTAATGAGAATGGTAAAACCGTACCGATTGATGATAGTTTCATAATAATGTTTGAAGATGCATATCGAGAATATGGTTCTCATGGTGAACGTGTACTTGCATTCTGTGATCATGAATATACTGCTGAAGAATTTGGTGATAATTATCAATTCGATGGTGTAAATCTAGATGAAATTATTACATTAGAGAATTTACGATTTCTTGGCCTCGTTTCAATGATTGATCCACCAAGACCGGATGTTCCAAACGCTGTTAGCATGTGTCGACAAGCCGGTATTCGTGTCGTAATGATTACCGGTGATCATCCAATTACAGCACAAGCAATTGCAAAAATGTGTGGAATCATATCACAAGTACATCGTGGTACGAGTATTGCATCATTACGAAGTACAACATCAATAATAGATAATCAACGATCAATTGTTGTACCGGGTAATGAATTAGAGGAAATGTCGGATGAAAATCTACGACAAATTCTTGATTATGGTGAAATTGTGTTTGCACGTACATCACCAAAACAAAAATTCCGTGTTGTTGAACAATTTCAAGCAATGGGTGAAATAGTAGCCGTAACCGGTGATGGTGTTAATGATTCATTGGCATTGAAAAAAGCCGATATTGGCATTGCAATGGGTATTACTGGATCGGAAGTTTCAAAACAAGCTGCCGATATGATATTATTGGATGATAATTTCGCCACCATCGTCATCGGTATTGAAGAAGGACGGCGTATATTTGATAATCTTAAGAAAACAATTTCCTACATATTGGCCGGAAATGTGACAACAATTTATCCATTCGTATTGTATGCTACACTCGGTATACCATTAGCCATGTCCACATCGGTAGCATTGTTGATTGCATTAGGCACTGATATAGCACCGGCCATATCATTAGCATATGAAAAATCTGAAGATGATATCATGAATATTGGTCCCAGAGATGCTAAAAAAGATCGTATGGTCGATGGACGATTACTACAACGTGCATATCTAACTATTGGAATTATGATTAGTTCGGCAGCATTTTTCTGCTATTTCGTAACAATGTGGCGTCATGGTTTTGATCCATTAATGTTGATCCAATCACAACGTCGTTGGAATAATCCAAATGATACATTTCCACGATTAGATATGGAACATTATCATCTACATGAAAAACCTTCTATTAATACGGTATGAATTTTGTTTTTTCGAATTTTCAAACATCAAAAAAATCAAAAAATTTTTCCCTTTCATTTCCCCATTCACACAGACATACGAAGAACGAATGTCGATTCAAATCGAAGCTCAAAGTGCCTATTTTGCCGGAATAATCATCATGCAATGGATGGATGTGATTGTTTGTAAAACACGACGTGTATCAATTTTTCGACACGGAATGAGGTGATTTAGTTTGTTTGATCAAAATCACACAAAAATTTTTGTTTCTTTTTGATTTCATTTTTTGCTATTTATTTTTTTCTCTCTCCCATCATTTCCTCATCCCGTCAACAACAATACAGTAATTGGGTTCTTAACTTTAGTATCGTAATTGAAACAATACTAGCAGCAGCATTTATCTATGTGCCTGCATTGAATCAAGTGATGCAAATAAATACAGTTGATTGGCATAGTTTTATATGGGCATTCACATTTATGGTTCTAATGTTTTTATATGAAGAATTTCGTAAATGGATTATTCGTCAATTTCCATCTTCATCATTTTTTAGTAAAGAATTATTGGCCTAAACAAAAGAATATTCTGGACAAACAAACAAACAAACAAACGAAATTTTATCATTATCTCTTGGACTTAGGCTAATAATATGATGATGATGATGAAACAAGCTTTGTCAAATTTCATTATTATTATTATTGAACAAATAAACAATTCTTTGAAATCCCCACTACTATACCAAATATATTATGAATATATGAAAATTCATTATTTTTTTCTTTCCTAAAGGTCGTTATGTTAATTTGTTAACACCATGATGATTATGATGATTGGATTGATGAAAAAATTTGTTCGTTGAGAGAAAGAGAGAAAGGTGAACGAACGAATCATTTTTTATGGAATGTAATTATGATTGTGTGTGTGTGCGCGGTATGTAGTATTACTGTTGAAACAATGGCCAATCGATCGATCGATCGATTCGTTTGCCATCATTTTCGATAATGGATGATGGAATCAGGAATTTCGATTTTTTTCTCTTTGCTTTCATTCTTTTTTCTAGATCACTCTCATGTGTTTTTTTTGCGTGCGTGGATAGATGGATGGATGGATGGATGTATAGCTATAAACGGTAAATGTCGAATGTGATTAAATATTCTATACTTTAGAATCTACTAGTGTAAAAGATAGAATTTATTTCTATTGAATCTAATCAAATTATACAGATTCAAGTTAGACAACGACAACAACAAGTCAACGTGTTTCCTTCTTTGAATGATCGAATCGAAATGAAATAATTCGTAGAACAAAAAAAAAAGCAGGAAAGAAAATTTTTTTCTCATTCCAAAAAAAAAAATTAATTATTGTAGACAACAGCTCGTTCGTAGCACTGTTGTTGTTGTTGTTGTTGTTGTCGATTGACATTCAAAGTTCTCTATTCGTTTTTGGCAAAATTCAATGAATTCGTATCGAAAACAAAAAAAAAGGACAATTTATTCATTGACAATAGGCAGTCAGTTTTGGAATTTTAATAGTTGGCCCGAGAAACATTGCCATTGTATATTGCTTTTATTATTATTATTATTATCATCATTTGGAACAGAACTGGGACATTCTTCTCCTGGAACACAAACACACATACAGAGGCAGTATTTTGATCTAATCTAATAAAATGTCTAAATTACACAAATAGTTCTAGATCACCAACAACAACAACAACAACAACAAAAAAAGAGTAAAAGAAGTAGTCAAAGAGTTGTATTAAAAGACACATACACACACACAGAGAAAGAACTGAGAGAAAATAAAAACCAAATGAAAATGAAAAAAAAAGTTAAGAAGATTTTTGTCGAAATGAACAACATACAGAGAGCGAGAGAGAGAGAGAGAGAGAGTTAATAATATAATGGAATGGAATAAAATGAAATGAATGAATGAACGAATGTGAGAACCCAAGAGAATGTTCCAACAAACGAATAAAAATAGTAGTAGAAATAGGAAATTAAATGTGAATATATAATATAAATATAGTCAACCAATTCAGAGTTTTATTTTGTAGATGATGATGGAACAAAAATTACTACTCTGATGTGATCAGTGTGTGTGTGTGTGTGTGGCAAAACAAGCCAAAAACACACATAGACATATTATTAGATTGAAATATCTTGTATGAAAGTATGAACACTACACTATTTCGATGTATGTTTGTGTATAACTTAATGGAATAAAATTATTATTACTATTTTTTTTTCATCACTGTGGAACTTTATTACAGAATAAACCAAAGAATTCATCAAGAACGCTGTTGTTGTCTACTCTCTTACGAGCCATATTAGTAATAAAACTCAATTAAAATTGAACATTTAGGATGGTGAAAAAAAAAATTCAGAGATTAATATGCATGGAATAAAATTTAAAATTGAATTTTTTTTTTTTTTTGGTTCATTGAAGAATTCAAGAATTAACATGATAGTCATGATGGTGTGGTTGTGAAATAACTTTCATTCGTTGACATGGCTGAAATTCATTCTATCAGCTGTAAAGTATCAAGGTAATTAATAATTAACCAACATACAAAGAATTGAGAATCAAATCACATGACATGACATGACATGATTGAATGAAAATACAGAAATAGAGTGAAATTCAAAACAACAACAATCGACAATCGACAGCTCGAATAAATAAATAAATAAAACTTGATTCTTGCATAAAATATCCGAAAACAACAACAACAACAACAACAACAACAACAATATATAATTTTGATAGATGGATTTTCCATATGTTTCATTTAGAGTTGATTCATTCAGAATTGATCCATCCAAGTGGATCCGTACTAAGTTTCGATAATAATATTGGAACACGATAACAGCGACAACAACAACAACAACAACAACAACAACAACAACAACAACAAGAAAAAAAAGAAAGTGACAGCCATATATTTGGCCATTCTAAACCTGAAATTTTTGTGCGTAGGAGTCTGATTTTTTTTGGCTCTGTTGTTTTTTTCCTTGCAGAAAATTCTGGACATTTTGATATGAACAACAACAAACAGAATTTATATGAATTGTGTGCGATTAAAAAGTAGGTTTTTTTTCGTTTTCATTTATCGCTCAATGTATATTTGATAACAACAACAACAACAACAACAACACCACCCAACAAGAATCGAGAAAAAAAAGAAGAAAAACATATTGCTAAATAATTCACTATTTATGGAAAGAGAGTAAATTGAGTTAATATCATGCCATTTTTTTTGTCGTTGCCGTTGTTGTTGTTGTTGTTGCCGTTGTTGATTCCAATGAGATTGCCCGGGTAGCAAAGATTATTATGAAACAAACAGATAAATGGAACTGGAAAAATATGGAAAACACCGATGAATACACCAACACACACAATGATAGGCATAATCAAATGTGCCAAGCCCTTTTTTTCTGTTGTTAGAAACATTGATGGAAATGAATTATTCGCCAATTACACACATACACACACACACACATAGAAAAATACGATCGCCATCATTAATTTTTTTCTGATAAAAAACGGAAATTAAAAGATAATTTTTGTTTGTCTGTCCGTCTGTCTGTTTTTTTCTCATTTAATGAATTTTTTTAATGAATTTCAAGTGAAAAGGAAGGTGCATGGTAGCAATAATGTGACAATAATTAATAATAACCATCATCATCATTCTATATTGCTATCAATAATTTTTCAATGATAATCTTAAATGCCATAATCATATCATCATTATCATTAATGATTGATGATGATGATGATAATAATATTCAACAACAGAAAAAGGGTTGAATCACCGAAAAAAAACAAGTAATACCTATCAACCTATATGGAATAATAATAGTAATACAGTGCGAAAGAATGAAAGAGATTAATGATAATAAAAAGTAGATTATGATAATGATACGAAATGGTCATCCGCATCATTAATAATTTCATAATTTTTCATAATTCCCTTTCGATAACTCTCTCTGTATATGTTAGATGTGTGTGTGTGTGTGTGTGGTTCATTGAACAAATACCAAATAAAAATTCTCGATTATTCGTGTTGTTTGACAAAAACTTAATGATGGATGATCGATCGATCAAATATTACGCTGGCTGATTGTGTTTGTGTGTGTGTGTGTGAGTGTTTTAGCATTAAAAATGTGAGAACCAAATTAAACATCACACAAAAATAAAGTAAAATTCCGAGCAAATTGTTTTTTAATTAATTTCAATGAATAGAGAAACAAAACGAGCGAAAGAATGATGCTTTTGTTTTGTTTTGTTTTTCTATGTCATTGAAAGCATCCAGATGATGATGATGATGATAAAAAGATAATTTGATGACATCAGCCATTAAAAAAAAAATTTCAAAAGGGTTAAACAACTCTAGAATTTTTTCAAAGTGCATCCTTTCGTTTTGTTTGCGACATCATAAAACAAAAAATAATCGTTACCATTGTAGTGTTGTGTGATATTTAATCTTTTCCATCTGAAAACAACAACAACAACAACAACAACAACAAAGAGTTAAAATAAACACAATGATGATGAATATGAAGCTCATTTAACCCCGAACGAACGAAGAAAAAAAAAACAGGGAAAATGGAAAAGCAATTAAGATTGAAATTTTTTTTGTTTTGTTTTGTTTGCACAAGTGAGTATCACCAACCATATGAGAGAAGCATCAAAAAATTTTTTTTTTCCATCGTTAACCTCAGAAATTAATTTTTAAATTGAATATAAATTTTCATTTTTGTTTTCATCATTTTGGAAAAAAAATTGACATTTCAAAATTACAATCAACACACACAAACCAAATTCAAATCTCTCGTGTGTGTGTGCAGAATTTATCTTTTCAAAAAAGAGAAAAAAAACAAGCCGAATAAAATGAAAAAAAAATGGGAAAAAAAACAGATTCACCTAACGCGCCATTAAACACACAAACACAGTGACTGTGTGTAAAAACTCAGTGAATGAATGAATGAATGAATGACAAAAACCAACCAAAGTCAAAATCGACTTTTTTCCCCCTTGCAAGCCATCCAGCCAGTCAGCCAACCATCCAAAGCAAAAAAAAAAACACACACACACACAACACACAAACACAAAAACAGTGACTTTGAGTGAAAGTAAAAAAAAAAAAACAACGTTGTTTATCGTTAAAAGCAAGTTCATGTATCATCATCGTCATCATCAATTTCTTATTCTTTCTTTTTTTTTTTTTGCTAGCTCATAATGTATGTGATGTGGTTGATGGTAACATGATGATGATGATGAATGAAATTCTGAAGTGTGTCTTAATGTCATCATCATCATCATCATCGTAGCTCATAAGATAAAAACTCATCCAAGTGTTTGTGCAAATTGTTTCACCGAAAAAAAAACACAAACACACACAAACACTAAATGAGTGAAATGATGATGATGATGAAAATGGAAAATTTATTTTCAAATAAATTGAAATGCGATAAGATTACGTTATTCATTTGGTTTTTTTCTTTATTCATTGACCAATCAACCAAGCAAGCATATCGATTGATTATTGTAAAATCAATAAAATACTGACCATATTTATAATCACTATCATCATCATCATCATTAATTATATTCACAGCATCGATTATGTCCA